TCCTCCTCCTCCTCCTCCTCCTCCTCCTCCTCCTCCTCCTCGTCCTCCTCCAACTCCCCTCCACGCGTGCTGGCAGCACGTGCTCACCCCCCCCAGCGGACTCAAGGGGGGGGCCATGATTGCCCCATCCAGAGTCGCCTGTGTCGCCCAGCTCCGCGCATCGCGCCCCTGCGACGCGCGGTAAGCTACGCGTGCAAGTTTGAGATATTCTGAGACTCTTACCGGGAATTTTAGCACGCCTCTGGCCTATTCGGCTGGCGAATTCAGGGGTGCCGGATTTGTCTCGGAATGGAGCGCATGCTGGTGGGGCATTGGCGTTGCCACAGCAATGATCACTGCGTTTGGGGGCGGCACCTATTATGCTCTCTTGATGAAACCGTCGGGGGCGCGGAGCTTTGGATGGCAGGATCCACTATCCGTTACTTTCGCTCTGGCAGGGTATGTTGCCTCCTGCAGGCTGCCACAGGGTTGCCAACGAGAGACTCTCTTCGAGATCTGGATTGGCGTTGAGTGCGACGAGGCGTTTCGACTGTTTGATTGCCTCAACTGTTCCATCTTAGTTGCGTGGGGAGTCAGCAAGGCGCTCGTTGATACAGCGGAGAAGGGCTCGATCTCCCGTTTGCTTTGGGTACTAATGGCAACTTACATGTACAGCTTTGGTGGTGGAGTGACACGTGACCTCGTTGGCATGGCCCTTGGCGTGGTTCCCACAGTAGGCAATTTCTCTTTGGATGTGATCATACCTGCGATGCTCGGGACGTTGCTCTACTATACGGTCCTGGTTATGCGGTGTCCTCCACTGCTCCAATTGGGTGTTGGCGTCCCAGCGATCTTCTATACCTTCTACCAGGTGCCAACCATTCTGGGCTGACTGTTCACCTCTGCTCTCGGAGTATGCAGTTCCCGCGCCCTCGGCATCATCGCCATCGTGGTTATCGCATCCTGTGTTCTACGGTGCATGGCCAATGCCGCTCCACATTTGTTCTCTTTCCGTGTTTGGAAGCAGGTGTTTTCCAGCCACGCTGTGTTTTTCCCCCGTCTGACCGCGCTTACGCACTTAGTCAGCGCAACCTGCAGGCCTCGCACTGCGTCGCCAGCTTCCTCGCACACGAGCTTCAGGCTCGCCCTCAGCCGCCTCGAATCGAATCATCATCGCAACGTCGTGCTCACTGCCGCCTGCCAGCCGCCGCTTCGGGTGGCCACCTTGTCTGCGTGGGCGCCCGCACGGACCGACGCCTGCACCGTCGCCACGCGCCCAGGGTTGGCGGCTGCCTGCTCCCACGGCCGGCCAGGCTGGGCCACGAGACCTCGCGCGAGACCTCTTCAAACAGGGCTGGGATCGGGGTAAATCGCTCCAGAGCGTTCCGGAGCGCTCTCAGAGCGCTCCGGGGCGCTCTGGAGCGGCCGCGGCGCCCAATAAATCCTCCAGACCCGCCGAGTCTCAGAGATTTCGAGCTATCCCGATCCGATGTTGTCCCGCTCTTCGCGTCGTTTCACCTCTCCTCCCGGCTTCTGCCCTCGAGGTTGACATCCTCACATCGCCACGCCTCGGGGAAAACGAACAGTGACGCAAACACACAACAGCTCGGAGGTCCGCGCGGATTTCTCGGGTCGGCGCGGGACCCCCGTCCTTCGGCGCGCGGAGCGCGCCAGGGGCGACGCCGCCAGGGGGGTCCAGCGCCGACCCGAGAAATCCGCGAATGTTTGTGTTTCTGTCAGTGCTCGTTTCCCTAGTGAAGGACAGGGGCCTCTGGGGGCAGCGGGTCCTGAAGATGCTTCGTTTTCACCGAGCGCCTTCCACTACTCGCAGAGTGCCTGCTCGCAGGCGTCCGACAGACACATGTCTGCTTCAATGTCATTTCTCGTAGATCCCCCCCCCAGCGGACCCAGGCAATTTGCGAGCAGTTCGAGGGTAGACAGACTCCCCACCCTGACACGTCGATTAGTGAATTGTTTGTTTTCGATTCTCGAGAGGGCGCCGCGGCTGTCGTTTTCCAGGCTCGCGCCCGCCAGGTTTGGGCCCGAGGTCGTTTTCACTACACCACGTTTTGCTGAAAGGGGTTCTGTCCATCCCCGAGTACACTCGGCCCGGACTCGCAGGTCGACCCTGCCAGACCAAGGGCACCCTTGTGTCCTGTGTCTCGCGACCCGCGCCTCCTGCATCCCTGTGGCACTCTGGCCCTCGGAGGGATCTCGTGCCCCCTCGCGTGTCCTGTCCGATCGAGTCCGACCGTAGCTCCCGCCGCTCTCCGCGGGCCGTCCGCCGCGGGGCCACGGGGTCGGTCCTCCGACGGCGCCGCCGCCGCGGGAGCGCGGGGCACGCCGGCGCCGCGTCCTTTGGTGTCCCCTCGCGTGTCCTCTTCAAGGAAGCCCGAGTGTGTAGCCAGACCATAGATAAAAGAAGACATGGCAAAGAAAAGAAGATACATATATATGTATATATATATATATATCAACAAAAAGAAGATCGACGAAGTGATCGAAGCCGATTCATAAAAAAATGGGCTGCGCATAATGGAAGACGATATCTTTGATTCATTCGGATTGGAGCCTCTGGGCAGCCACCGTGCGAGTCTTGCAAAGCGCGCTCGTCCACTCGCTGGCCTCTCGCCCTGCCCGGGGGGCCCCTCCCGCCGGCGGGGGGCGCCGCGCCCTTGTCCCGCGCACGGAGGGCCGCCCCGCGGCCCTCTCGGGCGCGGGGCCCGAGGCCACGCCGGCGGCGGTGCGGCTCGGCGGCCATGCCTCAGGAGGGGAAAAGGCACGCAGGCACAATGAATCGTCGATTCCCCAGAGTATATGGAAGAATATGGGAAGTGGGGGGGAAGACAAACACCCGAAAAGATGGGAAAATATGGGAACATATGGGGAGTCCTGTTCTTTGTGTGGTATTGATTTGTGTGTCCCCAGGGCCCCTTCAATGCCGGGGACCTTGTGACTGGCGAGGTGGCCGTTTTCGGTTCGCGAGAGGGCGTCGCGGCCGTCACTTTTGCGTGCCCGGGTCCGTCGGTTTCGGGCCCAGGGCGTTTTCACGAAAGGGAGGTTCACGAAAGGGAGGTTTGTCCACCGCCGATCTTGCAGGAACTCACGATCCCCACTTTCCTACATCTCCAATGCGAAAATGTATCGAACGAAAGCGACACAGCGAGTGTAGGAGAAGACGAGCCACGCGTTCCCACAATACCGAAACCTGGGACTCTCGGCCGTGCTGGCCTTGGCCGCGCCGGCCCCGCGCGATCGGGGAGCCCACCCAGGTCTGTGCGGAGGGTGCTCCGTGGAACAGCCCCCCGAACAGGGCTCGTTTCGACTCCTCCGATTCGATCCGATTCGATTTCGATGGCTTCCGAGTCCGATTTGATTCGACTTCGGATTCCGATTTGGGCTCCGATGTCTCAATGGAGGTGTGCAGTCGAGGTGGATGGATGCCGTAATTGTGGCGACAGTGGTAACCGTGTCCTTGCTTTGGTTGGAGCTTGTTATCGGAGAGAATAACATACAACAAGCAGAAGAGTGCTTGTGGGAGATGCCGTTTGTGCCGATGATCCGGGTTCTGGCTGGCGTTCATTTGGAGTTCTGTCGTTCTGGTAGTATCGTTATCATTTGGTCGCCGTGTCCATGGGGTTGAGTCCCTTCGGGGTTGCCTGTAGTTGCATGTTGTCATGCGTTAGTTCGATTTGAGTGTTCGTGGGCATAACGGGGGGGCCTTTCATGTGTGTATGGAACTGCTACAGTGGAGCTCCTTCGGGATTATAGTTTCAGCGTGTCCTCGATTTCACCAGATGGTGGGGGGCGAATGTGTGTTAGGTCAATCACTTCTGACTTTTCTTGTTCCCGATGATTGCGCAAGGTTGGATGATATGTTGTCATGCGCAACCAACGGCGTTTTCAAATCTAGCTTGGCCAACTTTCAACATCCAAATGGCTGTTCCTTGGTTGCGATGCTTGTTCCTTACAGCGGGAACTCCAGAACAGTGAAAGTGTGCGTTCAATCCCAAGGCAAAGTTCGGCACGTGGACATCGAGGAATGGAGAAGCCAGACAGGAATCCCGCGTGAAACCATGGAGCCCTCTGTAGATTCTTGGGTGACTGGTGGTTGTGGCGTGTTGCTCCTGAGTGCCTCTTGGGCGCCTTTGTGGTGGCACGTTGGGACCGTCGTGGCGCGGTTGTGGCATTGCCCGGGGCTGCAGAGGCGTGTGAAAGCAGAAAAGGTGGGAACCCAAAACACGTTTTCAACCCGTGGGACATTGACGGAGATGGCCCCTGGAAGCCTCTTGGGAAGTTGTGTGGGGTTCTCGTCGAGTGTGTTCGGGGCTCTGGGGGCCGTCTTGGAGCCGTCGTGGGCATCTTGGAGCGAGGTGTGGGACGTGGGGCCCTCTTGGACAGTTCACCGCGTGCTCGCGAAGCAGTGCCCTGGGGTCCCCCGCAATCGCGGCACCGCCCGCACCGTCAGTAGTGATGTCTGCGGCTGACATTCTCGGTGTTCGCCGTGCGCGCATGGGGAAGCGGGCGAACAAAAACACGTTTTACAGACGGCGGGCATCTGCCAAACGACGTTTTGGAGACGTCGTCGGTTCGCCGTGCGCGCATGGGGAAACGGGAGGGATACCACGTTTACAGAGAGCGGGTATCTGTCATTCTACGTTTTGGAGCCGTCGTGGGCGTCTTGGAGCGAGGTGTGGGGCGCGTCGGGGCCTCTTTGGGGCAGCGCTCCGTGCGCTCGCGAGGGATTCTGCCGGGGCCCCCCGCAATCGCGGCACCGCCCGCATCGCCAACAGTGATTCTTGCGGTTGGCGTTCTCACTGCTCGCCGTGCACGCATTGAGCAACGGACGAGAAACCACCTTCGTAGACAGACGGCGGGCATATATCAACATACTTTTTGAGCCGTCGTGGGCGTCTTGGGACGAGATGCGGGGCGTGTCGGGGCCCGCTTGGGGTGGGACAGGGGGTTCAGAGATGTGGAAATTGTTTGGCTGTCGAGGGAGGCCTCGAGGGCCAGGAGGCGGCAGTTCGGAGCCTCACGGAGGTTGTTTGAAGTCCTTTTTGGACCTCATTCTCAGTGTTCGCCGTGCGCGCATCGGGAAATATGCGAGACCCCATGTTTGCAGACAGCGGGTATTTGTCAAAGTACATGTTGGAGCCGTCGTGGGCGTCTTGGAGCGAGGTATGGGGCGTGTCGGGGCCTCTTGGGCAGTGTACCGCGCGCTCGCAAAGGATTTCGCTGGGCCTCCTTGAATCGCGGCGCCGCCCGCACCGCAGTCTTTTCCGTGCGCACCGCCAAAAGTGATTTCCGCAGTTGACTTTCCCAGTGTTCGCCGTGCACGCATGTGGAAGCGGACGGGGAGCCACGTTTACAGACTGCTGGCATATGTCAAAACACGTTTTGGAGCCGTCGTGGGCGTCTTGGAGCGACGTGTGGGGCGTGCCGGGGCCCCATTGGGACGGAAATTCAGAGATGTGGAACTTGGTTGGCCAAGGTTGTCCACGATGCTATCGAGGGGGGCCTGTCGAGGGCCAGGAGGCGATAGTGCGAAACCTTGCGGAGGTTGTCCGAAGTCCTTCGGAGAGGTCGTTTTCAGTGTTCACCGTGCGCGCGCACGGGGGAATGTGTGATAACCCATGTTTGCAGACAGCGGGCATCTGTTAAACTATGTGTTCTGAACCGTCGTGGGCGCCTTGGGGCCCGTGGGGCGTGCCGGGGGCCTCCTGGGAGAGTCCACCGCGTGCCCGCGAAGGATTCTGGCAATCGCGGCACCGCCCGCACCGCCAGTGGTGGTTTTTGCGGCTGACGTTTGTAGTGTTCGCCGTGCGCGCAAGGGTCGACTAGACGTAACAGTGACCTTTCGCCGGAGTGACCTTTGGTGCGGGCCCAGTGGGGCCCCCCGATCGCCGAACGCGATGCGACAGTAGCACCTTGCGCGCATGTGTTTGGCCCCCCGCGGCCCCCAACAAGCTGCGCACCGAAGGTCATTCTTGCCCAGGGTCACTCTTGCGTGTAGCCGAAGGGAGCGGGCGAGAACCCAAGTATACAATCGGAGGGCATATGTCAAGTACCAGGAGAATGCTCATCGGATGGCTTTCGGCACATCGCGCCACCGTTCCTGGGCTGCGGGTCTGAGGCCGCTCGGCTGGCAGATGGGGTCTCGTGGGAGGCGTCCCGGGGGCGTTTGGAAAACAGTTTTTGAACCTCTTGGGGGCCTTCTGGGGGCCTCCTGTTTTTTTTCGTGAGTCCTCTTGGAGTTCCCTTGGGGCCTGTTGGGGCCTTCTTGGGGCAACCATTGGGCGCTTTGGGGTCGAAGGCTCGAAATGTCCGTTCGGGTTCCTCCTCCGAGTCCTCTCTTGGGACTGTCTTGGGGCTCCCCTGGGCCGTTTTGGGGGCTTCTTGAGCAGTTTTGGGGCCGTCTGAGGTTGTCTGGTGGCCTTGGCGGCCTCTTTGGGATGTCTTGGGGCGATCCAGGAAGTGTTTTTTTTGGGCCGTCTTGGACGGCACCGACGCTCAACGTGCATTATATATGTATGTATGTATGTCTGTCTGTCTGTCTGTCTGTCTGTCTGTCTGTCTGTCTGTCTGTCTGTCTGTCTGTCTGTCTGTCTGTCTGTATGTATGTATGTATGTATGTATGTATGTATGTATGTATGTATGTATATGTATGTATGTATGTATGTATGTATGTATGTATGTATGTATGTATGTATGTATGCATGTGTGTGTATGTATGTATGTATGTATGTATGTATGTATGTATGTAGGTATGTATATAGGTATGCATGTATATATATAGATGTATACATATGTATATATGTATGTATGTATATATGTATGTATGTATGCACGCATGTATGTATGTATGTTTGTCTGTCTGTATGTATGTATGCATGCATGTATGTATGTATGCATGTATGCATGTATGCATGTATGTATGTATGTATGCATGTATGCATGTATGCATGTATGCATGTATGCATGTATACATGTATGCAATGTATACAGTGTATACAATGTATACAATGTTTGCAACGCATGCAATGTATGTATGTATGTATGTATGTATGTATGTATGTATGTATGTATGTATGTATGTGTATGTATGTGTGTATGTATGTATGTATGTATGTATGTATGTATGTATGTATGTATACATGTATGTATGTATGTATGTATGTAGGTAGGTAGGTAGGTAGGTAGGTAGGTAGGTAGGTAGGCATGCATGCATGTATGTATGTATGTATGTATGTATGTATGTACGTACGTACGTACGTATGTATGTATGTATGTATGTATGTATGTATGTGTGTATAGCTATGCGTGTATACATATGTATATTCAAAGATGAAAAAGGAAAGTAAATGGGAATGGGGCATTTTTCTTCGTTGGGACCGTCTTGGAATGCCTCTTGGGGGCTTCTTGGGGCGTCTTGGGGGCCTCTTGGGCCGCCAGGAGGCCAACCTGGGCGTTTTCGATGCATCTTTCGGAGGCTCGTGGCCCTCCTGGACCGTCCGGAGGGTCCCTTGCGGGCCTCTTGGCCGGTTGTGGGGCCCCCTGTCCCCGCGTGATTCGCTCTGGCGGTTTCCCCCGTTCGAAAACAGGGCTAGGATCGGGATAAGTCGCTCCAGAGCGTTCCAGAGCGCTCTCAGAGCGTTCCGGAACGCTCTGGAGCGGCCGCGGCGCCCAATACATCCTCCAAACCCGCCGATTCTCAGCGATTTCGAGTTATCCCGATCCGATTTTGTCCCGATCTTCGCGTCGTTTTACCAGACCGGGCTCCCGGGGGAGGGGTTTGGGGAGGGGGAAGCATATCACACGCCGATGAGCCCTAAGGGGTCGGCGGATTTTGCCACAGGGGTGTCATTCTTGAACTACGCATGGCGATGCCAGCGTTGCCTCGCGTCCGCTCGCGACTGGGGGAATACCACAACAGAAAATTCTGACCGCATCTCACTGCCTAGTTGCCTCCAGCAGCACCGCGATCTACCTCGGATACTTGGCCAGGATTGCCGCTGCGCAGGGCGCTGCTGCGTAATGGTCATCACGAGTTGTTTCTCGCGGAATTGCAGAGGTGGCGTCCATTATTGTACCACGAGACTACATTCACTCTGCAGCAGTGGGATCATACTGCAACCCAGCTTGCGACACAATTACGGCACTTTGCAGAGCAGAGACGCCGTGCGGCATTTGACGATGCGAGCACATTGATCATAGATGTGCAATTTGTGGATTTGCGTGTATCTTCGCAGTTTGGAGCCAGGGGCTTAGGTATTGCGACGTGTTGGCCAATTGTGATCAGTTTTGTCCTCGGTATTGATCCTCTTGAACATATCGTATCCGTTTGGCCTTTGTTGCGGCTTATTTCTCCGCTGTTACCAGATATTGAATGCCGCCGTGAGTGGACTGCGCGCGTGTGGACTATGATGGCGCGCCGCGTACCATGGGTGCCTCCAGTGGCCAGGTACTAGCGCAATGAGAGCCATCAATCAAGCGGACCGCGGCAAGTCCTGCCGTTGTGCCAGCTCAACATGGTCGAGACGAAGCTGGCGCCCGATACGATCATTTACAGTGCTTGGATCAGCGCATGCGAGAAAGGTCAGCAGTGGCAGCAGGCCCTGTCGCTGCTCAGCGACATGGTCGAGACGAGGCTGGAGCCCACTGTCATCCGCTACCGTGCTGGGAGGAGCGTTTGCGAGAACAGTCAGCAGTGGCAGCGAGCCTTGTCGCTGCTCAGCCGCATGATCGAAACGGAACTTGTGCCCGATACCATCATCTACAACGCTGGGATGAGCGATTGCAAGAAAGGTCAGCAGTAGCAGCGGGCCCTGAGGCTGCTCAGCGTCATCGTCGAGACGAAGCTGGAGCCCGACACCATCCACAACGCTGGGATCAGCGCGTGCGAGAAACGTCGGAATTTGCAGCAGGCCCTGTCGCTGCTCGGCGAGATGGTCGAGACTAAGCTGGAGCCCACTGTCATCAGCTACCGTGCTTGGATGAGCGCTTGCGAGAAAGGTCAGCAGTGGCAGCAGGCCGTCGACTCTCAGCGTCATGGTCGAGACGAAGCTGGAGCCCAATGCCATCTCTTCTATAATGCAGCGTTGACCGCTCGCCAAACTGGCGAGCAGTGGCAGTGGACCGGCCCCCTCCGGCGGCCACCAGCGCTGCCCCGGGGCCCTGGCGCGCTTCCAAGATGGCTTCGGAGCGCTTCGAGTCGCCCCCGGAGGCCCCCAAGAGGGCCCGAAGACGGCCGAAGACGGTCCAAGAGGGCCTCCGAGACGGACGGGTCCCGAGCGCTCGAAGACGCCCAAGACAGCCGCCCGACGGCCCAAGAGACCCTCAAACTGCTCCAAGTGGGCTCCAGAGAGAGCCCCAGGAGAGCCCGAACAAGGAAAGATTCTTCCAATTCCTAAGGGGAAACGTGCATTTCAGGAATTCCCGTGCTTTTCGTCTTCGAAGCGTCCGAGACGGCCATGCAGACCTTCAAAATCGTCCCAAGACGCCATGCAGAGGGCCCGAGGCCTTCCGAGCCTTGTGAGAAGGCCCTTCCCCTGTTCACTCCCCCCCCTCGCTCGCCGTGAGGCCTTCTGACCACTGATGGAACGTAGTCCAGCCTGGTCGACCACGACTCGCATCCATCTTGGGCTTGAGCTTTCTGGCTCAACAGCGGTGGCCCCCTTTGCGGAAAACATGCCTGCCACCACACTTTGCCCATTGCGATGTCTCGCATCGCTGAATCTTGCAGTGCAGCTTGCAGTCGTACCAGTGCTTGCAAAGCTTCGGGAGTCGGACTTGCCTGCGACAGTGCTGAAGTCAGAGTACGCCGTCCGTGGTGAAGTAGTGCTTCGTGCTCAGGAGATCCAGGCCGAACTTGATGCTGCAAAAAAAGCAGGCGTAACCCACGCCAAGTACGGTTTCGACAAGTTGGTACCATGCAACATTGGCAACCCACAAGCTGTCGGGCAGTCGCCTCTGACTTACCACCGCCAGATGCTTTCCATCGTAACCACGAGCCCGAAGGACATGAAGCATAACGGTACTGAGTGGAAGTCACTTGCTGAAGTGGTTGCCATGCCGCGTTTCCAAGACTTTCCGCTGGATGTGATGGCGCGGGGGTACCACTTCTTGAAGGAGGGTAACATAGGCGCGTACACGCACAGCAAGGGTGCGCTCCTATTCAGACAGAAGATCGCACAGTACATTGATCGACGAGATGCCGTCAGTGGTGCACCCAAGGTGAATGTCGAGGACATCTTCATCACCGACGGGGCTTCACCTGCGGTGAAAACGGTTCTGGAGCTTCTGATCCGCGACACTAGTGATGTGATCCTAATCCCGATTCCACAGTACCCGCTGTATTCAGCAAGCATTGTGCGACTCGGGGGAACGTATGTCGGGTATGAGCTGACCGAAGACTACACTGCGCCAAAGGATACATTAGGTTGGAACTTGGACGTGGCAGCATTGGAGGCCTTGGTGCAAGCAGAGAAGGCAAAGGGCAACAATGTACGTGGCATTGCCGTGATCAACCCTGGAAATCCGACAGGAAACGTATTGACAGAGGATGTGATCACAGCGATTGTACAGTTTGCAGAGAAGCATGACATGGTGATCCTCGCAGATGAGGTCTACCAGGAAAATGTTTACAACCTGAACCAGCTCCACGCAGGTTCTGAGCCGAAAGAGTTCGTGTCTTTCCGCGCAGTACTCTACAAGATACGTAGTTCAGTTGAGCTGTTCAGTTTTCATAGCGTGAGCAAGGGCTACTACGGGGAGTGTGGCCTAAGAGGTGGCTACGTGCAATTGGACAATATAGACGAGCGGATCAACGAGCAGATGTACAAGCTCATGAGCATGACGCTCTGCTCCAACACTATCGGGCAGGCGATGATGGCCTCTGTAACAAACCCTCCTGACACGGCTGACTATTTCTCTGAATGGGCAGCTTTGTTGAATGAGAATGTTGAGGTGCGCAAGGTTGCAGAGAACACAGGGATGCTGGTTACACCACAGCCTCCATCTTTCGTCTTGTTCGAGCGGGAGAAGAACGAGGTTCTGAAGTCTCTTCAAAAAAAGGCCGTGCTCACTTCGGAGTACTTGAATAGTGTACCAGGCATCAGTTCCATGCCAATTGAGGGGGCAATGTATGCATTTCCTCAAGTGCACTTACCACACAAGTACATTGAGCATTCCCGAAATATAATGCAGAAAGAGCCCGATTCTCTTTATTGCCTGCAGATGCTGGAAGCTCTCGGTGTCATTGCAGTCCCAGGCAATGGGTTTAATCAGCGGAGGGGCACATTTCACTTGCGATTGACAATCTTGCCGCAGGAGGAGGAACTTTTGAGGGTGTTTAAGGGTGTCCGTGACTTCCATATGGGAATTTACAGGGAATGGGGCGTGCCAGAGGGTATCAATGTTTCCTCTGATGAACTCAATAACGTGGATTGCCAAGGTGCCCAGTGTACGGGCGCACATCGTGAAGAGTTATAGATCAGCACGATCCGTTTCAGATCGCCAGGATGCATTCCTCCTCATCACTATCACCATCCTGTGTACTATCGCCAGGGAACGCGGAGTATGATAGCTATCAAGGCAAGTCAGAGCACGAGTAGAAACCGATGTGCCTCCACATTCATTGAAGGCACCTCCTGCGAATCGCCGCCCTGCCTTGCCATTTCGACAGTGCCTCTGTGGCCGGGCATTCGGCGAAAGGTTGGCCAAGCAACCGACGCCCAAGCGGTCGCGGAAACTTTCTTGGGGAAACATTGGGCTGGTCATTCGGGAGCCTCGTCGGCCACATGAGGGAGCCCCACCTGGGGCTGGGCAGCCGGGGAGCCTCGTCGGGGTTGTCCCAGACCGTCTTGCCATGACATGTGCGTCGACGCGTCGGGGGTATCCCAGACCGTCTTGGTGCCTACCCTTGGGGTGGAAGAGCTGGGAGGCGGAACACACACAAACACTTGGCGGCACAGTGGGCCTTCTGAGGCCCTCTTCAGAGGAGGAGGACGAGGGCCAGGACCAGGACCAGGACCAGAACGAGGGCGAAGGCGGGGCCGAGGACGGGGACGGGGACGGGGCGAGGAGGGGGAGGAGGAGGAGGAGGGGGAGGAGGAGGAGGAGGAGGAGGAGGAGGAGGAGGAGGAGGAGGAGGAGGAGGAGGAGGAGGAGGGGTATCCTGAGCATCTCTTGGAGCCTCGTGGGCCAGGTGTGGACGGCAGAGCCGAGGGGCTGCGCCCCTCGGCCGCCCGCCCCCCGAGGTTGGGCCCGCCCGCCTCGCAGGGTGCCGTCCTCCAGCGTCGCGGACGGCGATCCGTAATCTCCGGGCGCCAAATTAAAGCCAGAGGACGCGCGAGGGAGCCTGCTGTGGGCGCGAGAGGGAGCGGGCCGTGGGCGCCAACTTCCAGGTGTCTGGAACGGTGTCTTGAGCACAGATCGGGCCTGTAAAAGCATGTGTTGGATAGACATTGGTAGGACATTGCTCAACCATGTTCAACATTAACTTAGTTAATGCTGAACATGGTACGATGAAATTCACCAGCGTTAGTTAAGTTTAATTCGTGTTAGTGTTGAGCAATGTTTCTTGCTGTGACCATTTAAGTTTAAGTGATTTAACCAAGTCAATGGTAGGATTGTTGGGGTTTCCATTGTGTCATGGCGTCCACAAAACTCCAGCGCGTGCGCACGCCCCTCGCCCTCGAAGACGGTGGGGGCCTTCCGGCAGCAGGTCGTGGGAGCCGCGTGCACCTTCGCGCAATTCTGCCTCCAGCGTCGGCTGGCGTCGATGAGCGTCTGGGAGTGGATGGTCACCGAGCGCGTTCCACTACTCGCAAAGTGCCTACTCGCAAACGCCCGAACAAAACACCTCTCTGCTTCGACGTACATTTATCGTCGATCCCTGGCGGGGGATCCAGGCCATTTGCGAGTAGTTGCTTTGTGAGTAGTGGAACGTGCTCGTCGAGATGGGATAGCGCCCATTTCGCGTCGGTTAGCGTCGAGTAGAGTCGATTTAGCGTCGATTTAGTGTCGACTAGCGTCGAGTCGCAAGAGCCGGCAAGATGGTATTGGAGGCTCGAACGAGTTGCCACCGGCGGGACTCAGACGAGTCTGGCCAGGTTTCTTCTCGGGGCGGCTGCACCTCCGTGGCAGTCGTCGGTCCTGCATGTAGCAGCCAGGAGGGGCTGGGCGTGGAGCTCAAAAGCCCGTGGGGGCCCGTCGGGCCGCCCTTGGGACACGTTGGGCGGTCTTGGAGCTATCTCGGGGCCCTCGGGGGCCAAGATCGGGGGCCTCTCGAGGGGGGGCGCCTCGGGGCATCCGTGGGGTCCTGAGGGCCACCGGGGACGATCCGGGCCGCATCCGAGCGGACGGGAGGCTGACGGGCTCTGCCCTGGGTGTTTCCTGTGACTGCTCGGCCCCGTGGTGTTGAGTCGGGCCCGTCCCTCCGCAGGAGGAAGATTCCAAGACAGTCACACCAGAGTAGGGGGACGATCCTATGTCTGCTTATTTGCTCAAGATGTTTTGGGCTGTTCGGCGCAGCATTCTCGCCCAACATCCGCCTGTGGGGGGACAGGCCCGACCTGACCATAGTGTCGAGGGGCGGAGGGCCACCCGGGCCCACATACTATACACTGCGCTTGCTGGGCTGCCCTGCGCGTTGACCGAGCAGGCCTGCCCCGCTGGATGCCTCCACCAGGCGGGACAGCCCGATGGGAATGCCGAGGACACCGTCAAGGACGAGGACGACGGCGACGACGAGGAGAGCGACGATGATACCGACGACGAGATCGACGAGAGCGATGCCGAGAACGTCGACGAGAACGTCGGCGACGAGAAGGACGACGACGACGACGAGAGCGACGACGACGACAAGCGACGGCGAGAAGGACCTCGACTTCGACGACGAGAACGACCCTCAGAGCGACAGGGACGACGACAAAGACACGAAGCCGACGACGAGAACGGCGAGGACGACGGCGACAGCGACGACGAGGGCGAGAGCGACGACGACCTCGGGGACGAGAGCGACGAGAGCGACGACGACCACGGCGGCGATCGGCGGCGACGGCGTCCGCGGGCGAGGCTGCGGGCGATCATCGCCAACGACACGGAGATGGAGGACCGCCCGCCCCTCGCCGCCCGTGAGCAGGAGGGAGGGCGGGAGGGAGGGGGAGGAGGAGAAGGCATGGATTAGGAGGGCACGCTGTGGGTGATGACGATGGTGGTGAGGCTGATGGTGGTGGTGATGATGATGGTGGTGGTGATGGTGGTGGTGATGGTGATGGTGATGGTGACGGTGACGATGATGACAATTATGATGATGATTCTGGTGATGGCGATGGGCATGGTGATGGTGATGATGACGGCGATGGTGGTGATGATGGTGATGATGCTGATGATGATGATGATGCTGATGATGATAGTGCTGCTGATTATGATGATAATGACGATGCTGATGATGCTGCTGATGATGCTAGTGATGATGATGCTGATGATGACGATGATGATGATGATGATGATGACGACGGTGTTGATGCTGATGATGCTGCTGATGGTGATGTTGTCGATGATGATGATGATGATGATGCTGCTGATGGTGATATTGATGTCGATGCTGCTCATGATGATGTGGATGATGATTTGGATGATGATGATGATGATGATGATGATGATGGTGGTGATGATGATGATGATGCTGATGATGATGATGATGATGTTTTCGATGATGATGATACTGATGATGCTGATGATGATGCTGATTATGATGATTATGGTGATGATGATGATGATGATGCTGATGCTGATGCTGATTCTGATGATGGTGATGATGTTGCTGCTGCTGCTGCTGATGATGATGATGATGATGCTGATAATGGTGACGGTGATTGTGATGCTGATGCTGCTGCTGCTGATGATGATGATGATGCTGATGATTATGATGATGATGATGATGATGATGATGATGATGATGATGATGATGATGACGATGATGATGATGATGATGATGATGATGATGATGATGATGGTGGTGGTGGTGGTGGTGATGATGATGATGATGATGATGATGCTGATGATGATGATGATGCTGATGATGATGATGATGATGATGATGATGATGATGATGATGATGATGACGATGATGATGATGATGCTGATGATGATGATGATGCTGATGATGATGATGATGATGATGATGATGATGATGATGATGATGATGATGCTGATGATCATGATGATGGTGATGATGATGGTGATGGTGGTGACGGTGATGGTGATGGTGATGGTGCTGATGAAAATCACGAATACTAATAATAACCAGACGGCCACTAAGAGGAGCATGACGAGTTGGAGGAGGAGGAGGAGGAGGAGGAATAGGAGGGATGGTATACCAAATTTGAGGCGCAAGAACATACCCCCCCAGGAAGGTAATGCAGACCTGAGGGTCCGGCTGAGCGGGGGCCGCGGGTCAGCCAGCGAACGCTTGACCCGCGGTTGCCCGCTGGCAGCCGTGCGCGCTCTCCGCCTCGGTACCAGCCAGGCGCGCCACGGTGAAGCCGTAAACGTCTGCGGGCGGTGGGCAGGGGAGGATGGGGAGGAGGAGGAGGAGGAGGAGGAGGAGGAGGAGGAGGAGGAGGAGGAGGAGGAGGCGGAGGAGGAGGTGGAGGAGGAGGAGGAGGAGGAAGAAGAAGAAGAATAATAAGAATAATAATAAGGATAATAATAAGACTAATAATAAGAAGAAGAATAATAAGAAGAAGAGGAGGAGGAGGAAGAGGAGGAGGAGGAGGAGGAAGAGGAGGAGGAGGAGAAGGAGGAAGAGGACCAGTGTAAACCCAAGACTCATCAACGATTTTGGATCAAAGCCTTCCTCCGAGATCTTTCTCCATAGGCCCCTACAACTGTTCATTTCCATTGATGGAACTGCCTCGTTGGAAGACACCCGTTTGAAAACCCTGAAGCATGCCCAAACATTGTTCTCGGGATTCCAACGCCACTCATCAACCTGTCTGTTGTATCTTAACGATCCTGAATCGTGCCAGAACGCCATTCCTAGGACTTCAACACATAACTAACGTAAGTGTTGCACCGGAATAATCTTGAGTTCTTCCTATACACCATTTCTGACACGTTGATGATGGGAATCCGTGGAACTCTTGCAAATGCCTTTAACGAATGTGCGCCGCGCTAAGGCGAGAGCCACATTTTGAAAAGGAGCCGCCCCGAATTCTCGAATTTCTTGCAATTTTCAAAACGAATGTGCCACGCGCTAAGGCGAGAGCCACATTATGAAAAGGAACCGTCCTCATTCCGTGAAGCTCTTGCAAATTGTGAAAAGTAATGTGCGCGCGCACTCTAGAGCCACACTTTGAAAACCACCCGCCCTCAATCCGTGAAGCTCTTGCAAAAGTTTCAAATGAATGTGCGCCGCGCTAAGGCGAGAGCCACATCTTGAACACGATTCGCCCTCCGCCGTGAAGTTCCTGCAATTCGTTAAAACGAATGTGCGCCGCGCTAAGGCGAGAGCCACATTTTGAAAACCACCCGACCTCCATCTGTGAAACTATTGCCACGAGCTTCAGAGTCCTAAGTGGTGAGGAAGTCTCAGGCGAAACGCCCGGCCCGCCCTAAAAACTTGCCTCGGGGTGCGACAGGGCGAAGTTACCTGTAAGGAAAACGAGTGGAGGAGGAGGAGCAGGAGGAGGGGGAGAACGAGGCCGAGGGGGAGGAAGGGGAGGAGGGGAGGAGGGATGGGGGAGGAGGACGAGGAGGGGGAGGAGACGGGCACGTGATTGGGCTCGACGCCTGAGAGGCGCG